TCGTTCAATTTTTTTTGATTGCCTGCTACCCGGTTATATACTAGTAGTTTATCGATATAACAATTAATAGATTAATTACGTAGAATAAACTTATTTAACAATATAAAATAATTATATTATCGCATTTTTATAACAGTTAATAATTAACAACACTATAGGATAAACTCATTTAACATTAACTCAATGTTTAAGAAACTACATAATATTATAATATTATATGTTATAACAATTAATTAATTATGAAGAATAAACTTATTTAAAAATATAATACTGATCAACCTTCAACAAGTTATTTAAAGAACTATATAATATAAATTTCATCACATTGTATAACAGTTAATAATTAATAATAATGCAGAATAAACTTATTTAACAATATAACACTGATCAAACTTGAACAAGTTATTTAAAGAAGCTATATAAATATAATAAATATCATCACATTGTACAAAACAAAATTATAAGCTTTTAAATTTATACATGTTTTGATTGAATTTTTTTAGAAATTCATTATTTAAAGTATAGTTATAACACTCAGAGCTTGAAGCTTTTAGCATACTTTTAGTTTGTAACAGACCACACAAGTTATCGGTTTGCAATCTATTCCTCTCTTTTGTTTTTATTGCATTAACCATTGAAAATATTCTTTCGACACATGCACTTGAATGTGGCAATGTCATTATATTTTTTACTAAAAAAACCATTAATGGAAACATAGGAGTTTCATCTCCTTTTTTCAATTTACTAATATATGTCCAGAAATCTATAATATTTGTATTTCGATCAATCTTTGCAGATTCATAATGAACAAATGGCAATTTTCTCCATTCTCTGTCCACTTCGTTGATGTCTATGTCCCCAAACAAAATTGGTAGACTAGCATACATGGGTCCCAATGAAGACACATCATTATCAAAAATGGTTTCTGGACATATGATTTTTAAGTGCTTCAATGGTTGAAGTAATTTGAATGGAAATCTTTGATAAACCTGATTAGCTGCTTCCACATAAAAACATTGGCACCTTAATTTGAAGTCCTGTATCATCGCATATGTTAACTTCTTTTCAGTCAACATTTGGGTTATTGAAGCCATCACCTTACCACCTAAATATATATCTTTTAGATCTAAAAAGAATTCAGGGTTTCTGTATTGTATTTCGTTTACTTCTTTTGTACAAATATAATCTTTTTTCATGTAACAATTGAGAATTTCTTTGTACAAAGAACCAACCTTATCATAGACTACATGTATTTTTACTGTTGTCGATTGCATTTCAATGTTTAGGTCTATGAAAAACGGGAGAACAAAATCGAGAAATTCAAAATACATCAATGTTAATGGATTGGTAAGTCTATCTAAAATGATTTTTGCATTATCTAATCCATCATTTAATGCTGCAGATGTGAAGTATAACTTCAAAGCTGAATATTGAGACAGTATTCGTTTTACAACCGAATGTAGTGATAGCCATCTAGTCTGAGCTGGATGAAGTAGTTTATGTGGCTTTAAGTTTAAAAACTGTTGAAACTCTTTATATTCACATAAACGTTTAGGGTTGTTGCTGATATAATTATAAACATCTCGTGCTACATCTTCTACATATTTTGGCAACTTCATGCAAGCATATGATGCACATAAGTGGAATGAGTGGCAGATACACTTAAACACAAAAATATTTGGTATATCATTGCGCAATTTTGTGGCTAAAGAATTATGTGCGCCCATCATATTATTTGCCCCATCACTTGCATATCCAATCATATTGTTTTTATACGGTATATTATTATCATTAAAAAACCGTATGACATGATCATATAAGGCTTGCGATGTAGCACTATTCACTTCAATCAAAGTGACAAATCTATCCATTATATTAAGCGGTGCTTGAACTATTCGGATAACAAGAGCCAAGTGCTTAATTGCCGATCTATCAGTGCTTTCGTCCAAAATTATAGAAAATTTATGTGTCTTGAGGTCATTCATTAAATTATCGTGACTTACCGATGCTAAGACATTTGTTATGACGGATTTGCATTTATTGTCCCCACATTTTAAATTGTGTGCAATTTTTGAATCTGGACAAATATTTTTAATAAGCTTAGGTAGGTGGTTCATAATTGAGTACGGCAAATTGTGTTCTGCTATGAATAATGACAATTGTAGTTCAGCATACTTGACCTATAATAATAAAATAGATATACAAAATAGAAAATACATTTTCAAACATACTTCATTATCCAATTTACTGTTCTCTGTGAACATTTCACAAATATTTTGGTTTTTAGCATTTCCAACATTTTTCTTGTGCTTTTTTCCATTGGCGTGCTTTGTAATTTCTGATTTGCCAGCTACTCCATCTACTAAGCATGCTTTACAATAAAAAAACGTGTTTCCTTAAACAAAATAATGATTTTAATATTAATATCACTCCCTATACATTATAATAACTTGAATATATTATTTAAATATTACCTTTTTTGCTTGGTGAAAGCCATCCCTTAAATGAGGTATCTGACTCCCATTCAACACAATATTTTTGTTTGTAGGACAGTTTAAACTTTTTAGGTGGTGTTTGAGGACTATCAACCTCCGAGTCCGACATATTGACAACAATTCTTAGTTAACTTTAAAATGATGACAACAGACAATTTAAAAACTATACTAATAGGACAAAAGGTATACTTTAATATTTATATTATAGACATAATACCATTGATTATAAATGTAAAATCAATGATGACGTTATGTGCTGTAAATACCGAATACCACAATGTACAATTTGATGTATGAATGTGACCAACTGCGTAATATACTAATATTACTAATAAATAATAACGTTAAATCTTAAATAGTTAAATGATAATAACAATAACAATCAGCAAGCAACAGGACAAAGCGATTAGTGGTAAATGGGGCCGAAGTCCACCGAAGGCGGAACCGCCGCCAACTGTTTACAAATACCAATAGTTATATTTAGATTTTTATCAAATAACGAAATTCTATGATCGTAACAATTATTATCACAGAATATTTTTTTTTGTCATAATCAACCAAATATAAATATATTTATATATTACCATTGAGTATAATAGATAATATATAGATATTATCTATACTCAATGATATTACTTAAAAATCTAAAAAGTCCCTAGAACTAATAGTTTATATATATATTTTCCCCATTTCCCTAACATGGTCCAGAATTCCCTAAAACTAGGGAAATTTCCCTAAAGTTACGAACCCTGTGGGAAACTGCCATGGAGAAAATGTTGTCATTGCAAACTGCGCTCCAGGTGCCTGATGTATGTACTAGTCTTCAAACAGGGGTTCTCATTATAGTCTTCGTGTTCATTTCAGGGCATCTCATTTTTTTTTTTTAACTTAGATATTTTTTTCTTTATTGAATAATCTACAATCTATACATTGTTTGTATAATAAGTAGGTTTGATAATTGACAAAATATAAATAACATGAATAATAAGCTTAGATTTTAAAAAATGAATACAAACACATTAATAAAATAATAATGTAAAATTTTATTGAAAAATATTTGATACATTTTTTTAAATACAAATATATAATGAATACAATATGATAAAATATAGTGTTATAATTAGGAATTATGAAAACAACAGAAACTTAACAAATATTATAAATTATTATTAATTATTAATAATATTAATAATAATATACTATTATTAATTTTTTTTTTTTTTTTAATTATTATTATTATTAATATTCAATACATTGAAGAAATTGGTGTACAATGTAATAATAAATATAAATAATAACAACAAACATAAAAAAGCGGGTAACGCTCATATATGTACGTTAGGTGCCGTTTGGATCATCATTATTATATATTATAGAAGTGTTTAATTTGAATGTATTGATAGGTATCATTGAAAACGAAAAACGATTCTCAACGGAGATGATTTTGACGAATTTTTGTCAATATTTGAACTTCAAATGTTAATAAAAAAAAATTGTGAGTATGCATTCTTATAATTATAAGTTTTAGTCTTATAGCTAGTATTTACAGTGATTAGTTTTTGAGTTACAACCATATAAAAAAACACACATCATTGTAAAATCAATACATTAATCACTCCGTTCAGAATCTAAAATATTTATTTATTTTAGAATCTGAGAAAAGCGAGGAATGTATTGATTTTACAACACTGTAGGTTTTTTTAGAGGATGTGTAATAGGATGATTAATTAATTGCTAATTACATTAGTGTTTAAAATTGAGGGCTAATAAAATATTGTTTTATTTTTAAACTTGGAAAATTTATTGTACCTACTAGCAGCTGCTATTTTGATATGGTCTTTTTCGTTAGCATTTATTTTTTTTTTACCATTTAATATTCGGTTTATTTCAACACACCAGTGGTTTGTTATTAGTTTAATAGAATAATTTAAAATTTTGTTTTTGAAGTCTGAAGATTGAACTGGGCAACTTATTATTTCTAAATTAAATTGCTCTTGAATTTTAGACATTAAAATTGTCTTATAATCTAAACGATGACATATTGAAGGTAATTGTGCAAAAATTAGATCAGTTATACCCTGTATTAAGTGACAAAAAGTAAGATTTGGATATTTTAGGTTCAGTTGTTTATTGTATTCTCTAGCCATTGTAATTTCATGAGGTTTACTAATATTATTGGTACAAATCTGACTTAAACATATTTTACAATTTTTGAATAGAATTTGGTTTAACTTTTTAATAATAAATCCGGCCACATAGTTTTGTGTTTGGAGCTTTAGGTATGATAGATCAGGTGTACACACAGTTTTTGATTTTACCAATCCATCAGCAACTCTTGGCATATGATTTTGGTTTTCTGTATTGTCATCACTCGAATTTGAAAACAATATTTGATAGGAAGCCAGCGTACCTTCTGAAAGGTCTTCTTCACAATTGCTTCCAACTGAGTGGGTAGTTGTTAAATTGTTTAACATCAAAGTCTTGTACGCCGAAGAAAATTTTTGAGTTGATGGATTGTTGGAACGATAACCAAGACTCCGAATTGCACCGAATGAATTTTCAATTGGATCTTGATTAAAGTTCCGAAGCAATAAAGAATGTACACCTTTTTCAGCCATTATTTTGAAAATGTTTTGGAAACCTAAAATGATAAATAAAATTATCAAAATGTACACTATTTTTGCCATAAGAGATGATCTGATTCTTTAGTTATTAGTAGGGCTCATAAGCAGTGGCGCAACTTAAGAGTCATTTCAAGTTCCATTTTTCACAAAAATAATATACTGTCTGTGGTAATTAGAATAGAAATCCAAAAGAGAGAGAATTTAAGACTACAAAATTAGTTTAAATATATTTTTTTCTAGTCATAAGTTATAAGCCATAAGCCTAAAAAGTGCCTAAATAGGTAACACTTTATGTACTAATAAATGGCAAAATATTATTGAAATGTAGCTTAAAATGTTCATAAGCATTTATACGGACTATAAAAATAAAATAACTTGACGAGATTGAAATATATATACATGTATACCTTTGATGGTTTTAATCCAGTTTTGTATGGACCTTGGTTGTGGTGTGGAAGACTTTTTTTTGGTAACTGGATCCACAAACACCATAGAATTTAGTATTTTTAAAGCATCTTCCCAAAATTTATGGTGAGGACTGCCTTTTTTTAGAGCCGAGCGATATATTTTGCCATCAACAATTTTATGAGAATTGCCATTGACAGAATCAAAGAGCTTGTCAAAAAATAGGCAAGCATCAGATGTATCTTGAGCACTAGAAGTAAGTATTCCCTTGCCTAAAACAATACATAAAAAAATTTGTAAAATGGATAAAAAGAGCAATATTTTAACATTTACCAGCTAAAAATTTCATCAATGCTGCAACGCGTTGGCTGAAGACCTGAGCTACCATTTTAACCTTCATTTTCTTGATTCTGCCAGGAATTATATGATGGTCCGTAAGCCTTGGTAACATTTTAACTTCATCAATGTTACTGTCTAAATTGTATAGGTCTATCAAGTGTTGCCATTGAGCTTCTTTACTTTGATCGTTCATCATAAACATTAGATTTTTTTGAAGCAAGTTGTTTCTAATGCCTTTAAGTAGATGCGGCGGGTCGTACAGATGTATAATCTTCACTCTTTCATGATCATTACATTGAATTTCATAAAAATCTTCATTGTAATGTTGATTGTTTTTTAAACAGTAAGCTCGTGTGTCTTCGTGTAACAATTTAATAGCGCCTTCATTGTTAGCACCTTGGTCGCAAATAGTAGCAACAACTTTTAGCCCAGTTTCTTGAATGCTATTCACTATCTTTTTGATCATTGCACATAATTGAAATTTGTTAGTAGATCCTTTTATGAAGGTATAAGCTATAGGCTGTTTGTAGTTTTTGGTGATGCCTTTCACCATAAATAAGAGAGCATGATCCGCAAATTCTTGAGTTTTTTTTATGCTGGATTGCAATTTTTTTTTAATTCAACTGTGATACTATTTGATTAAAAATACACCAACAGATAAATAAAAAATATGAATACCGGTTTCTCATGTATATGATTGATATTATAAACGACAGAATTAAGACATTTTTGATGTATAATATTATACATTTTTGAGAAATTGAAAAATATATAAATTTGTGTTTTAAAAGTTCAAACTGTGTAAAAATCGTTATTTTCAAATGGTATTCGATGTGTTTAGATCATTTGTATTAACTTTCGTTCATTTCTCATACTAATATTTGAAGTTCAAAGTTTATGTTGCGTACACGCAACGTTGGCGGTTTGTAGCATATAAATTCCAGTACCGGTCGTTTTGTGACCTTGGCGGACGCGATAACGCGGTGTTCCCTCGTACATTGATGTTTCTGACAACAGCTATTATTATAATAATTTATAAATATCCAATACCGAGTAATTGAGATTATAGACACGATTTAGTTGACGACGTTATCGCGTTTGTTCGTAAATCTGTTTGGTCATTGCAACTTATTTTTGTAATTCTATTTTCTATATCTGTTTTGTTTCTGCAATAATTGGTTTGGTCAATCGCTGTAAGTCTGCCTAAGTAAGTTTTATTTTTTTTAATTATTCATTGGTAGGTACGTTTATTTACATTTTAGTATTTATTATTATAGAAATGAGTGAGTTCAAAAGGTTAAAAACATCGGAAGAGATACTGGAGTTTTTAGATAATGTAGACGTGAGTGATGATGAACCCACTGATATTATTATAATTCCCCCAGATGTTGATTGTCTCACTGATGAGAAAAATGTAGACGATAATGCAATTGTAATAAATGACGATACAAATGTACTCAGTAGTGACATATGTGGTACATTTGAAGTTTTAAATCATAATTTTGAAATGGCTGGAACTTCAAATGTAGACTCACAACCGCCAGAAAATC